ATTTTGCCTCACTACTACCCCTGCCTTCTCCCTCGCACCACAACCGGCTCCCTCTTTCCAAACCCCCCTGACTTCATGCAGCCCGAGCATAAGTATCGGGCGAGGGCAGCAGTGGAAGGGGGCTACTGTGTTCCTCCCACCCGCAATCATCCCCTCCCTCTTTGGAACGTTTCTTTCAAACCCCCCTTCGTTTGTGCAGCCAGAGCACAAGTATCGGGTGAGGGCAGCAGTGGAAGGCGGATTCTCGTTCTGCAGCGATCTGGCTCCCACCAATGGCGTGGGCGGCACTGCTCCCACGTGAGAGAAGAAGAGAGAACGGGGAGAGGGAAGGGAGGGGGGGGGGGTGTTGGGGTTAGTGTACGGTGTGACGGCAGCAGTGGGAAGGGGGTTATCCTTCTGCAGCGACCTTGCTCGGTACCATGGTTTCAATACGTGGCAGCAACTCTTAGGGAAGACACCTTGAGTCGACTCAAACGTTAGTTTATGATGTGATGACAGCAGTGGGAAGGGGATTCTCCGTCCTTCTGCAGCGACCTTGCTTGCTCCCACCAATGGCGTGGGCGGCACTGCTCCCACGTGAGCAGGGGGAAGAGAGGGTGCGAGGAAAAGAAGGGGAGCGGGAACAGGGAGACTTCGACAGGGGTACCGGGTGTAGTAGGACATTGACTTGTCGAACCGGACGTCACGGTAGTCTAGGAACTGGTGGAGGGGCGGGTGGTAAAAGGACCAGACGGCCGAGGCTACCGGGAAACCAAAGAAGACAGAGGGGACGGCGCGAGCCAAGAGCTTGTCCGCAGAGGTGTCATGGACAAGCGCAAGGCAGCCCCAGACACAAAAGGCTGACCGAACACTTAGGGACCCGGTCCAAAGACTGGTCGGTGAAACCTCTGGCCGCAAGACGTGCGGCTGGAGGTTCAGCTGGTGAGCGGCGTAGCGAACCGCGTAGGGCCACAGAAAATGGGGCGCACGGGCATGAATCATGGACGTGCGGGCGATGTCCACGACCAAGCCAATGTGGCGCTCAGCAACCCCATTCAATACGCGGCAGCGACCTTGCTCGGTACCATGGTTTCAATACGTGGCAGCACCATACTCTTAAACTCGGTACCATGGTTTCAATACGTGGCAGCACCATACTCTTAAACTCGGTACCATGGTTTCAATACGTGGCAGCACCATACTCTTAAACTCGGTACCATGGTTTCAATACGTGGCAGCACCATACTCTTAAACTCGGTACCATGGTTTCAATACGTGGCAGCACCATACTCTTCAACTCGGTACCATGGTTTCAATACGTGGCAGCACCATACTCTTCAACTCGGTACCATGGTTTCAATACGTGGCAGCACCATACTCTTAAACTCGGTACCATGGTTTCAATACGTGGCAGCACCATACTCTTAAACTCGGTACCATGGTTTCAATACGTGGCAGCACCATACTCTTAAACTCGGTACCATGGTTTCAATACGTGGCAGCACCATACTCTTAAACTCGGTACCATGGTTTCAATACGTGGCAGCAACTCTTAGGGACGTATTGTCTCAATATGTACCATACGCGGCAGCACCATACTCTTAAACTCGTTTCCATGGTTTCAATACGTGGCAGCAACTCTTAGGGACGTATTGTCTCAATATGTACCATACGCGGCAGCACCATACTCTTAAACTCGGTACCATGGTTTCAATACGTGGCAGCACCATACTCTTAAACTCGGTACCATGGTTTCAATACATGGCAGCACCATACTCTTAAACTCGGTACCATGGTTTCAATACGTGGCAGCACCATACTCTTAAACTCGGTACCATGGTTTCAATACGTGGCAGCAACTCTTAGGGACGTATTGTCTCAATATGTACCATACGCGGCAGCACCATACTCTTAAACTCGTTTCCATGGTTTCAATACGTGGCAGCAACTCTTAGGGACGTATTGTCTCAATATGTACCATACGCGGCAGCACCATACTCTTAAACTCGGTACCATGGTTTCAATACGTGGCAGCAACTCTTAGGGACGTATTGTCTCAATATGTACCATACGCGGCAGCACCATACTCTTAAACTCGGTACCATGGTTTCAATACATGGCAGCAACTCTTAGGGACGTATTGTCTCAATATGTACCATACGCGGCAGCACCATACTCGTAAACTCGGTACCATGGTTTCAATACGTGGCAGCAACTCTTAGGGACGTTTTGTCTCAATATGTACCATACGCGGCAGCACCATACTCTTAAACTCGGTACCATGGTTTCAATACGTGGCAGCAACTCTTAGGGAAGACACCTTGAGTCGACTCAAACGTTAGTTTACGATATGTGACAGCAGCAGTGGGAAGGGGATTCTCCGTCCTTCTGCTGCGACCTTGCTTGCTCCCACCAATGGCGTGGGCGGCACTGCTCCCACGTGAATAGGGCGCAGCATTATTTACTAGTTAGCTGGAAACACAAGAGAAGCAAAAACAAAAACAAAAAACCAAGACGGGGGAGAGAACGTTTGGGACGAGTAAGGAAGGGGACAAGTGGGGAAGAGGGCGAGTGAATAAGGGGACGAGTAGGGAATAATGCACCCACTTGCCCTGCACCCTCTTGCCTATTTCTCGCCCCCCTGGCCTCTCCCTCTCCCTGTCCCCCACACCAGCCCCATGGACTATGCAGCAGCAGCACTCGCCATGTGCAGACGAGAGAATATATGTTTATCTATATCTGCATGTACAAACGCCCATTTCTCCTCGTCCTTCTCTCTCCCTGTCCCCCCCACCAGCCCCATGGACTATGCAGCAGCAGCAGTCGCCATGTGCACAGCCACCACTGTCAGGCTGGTACGCGCCTGCCCTCACCCTACCCTCACCCCGCACCCTGCCCGCACCACACCGTCTCCCCTCTCCATTTTCGACTGCCCTAGTAGGTGTAGCATGCTCCCGCCCCGCCCCATGTGCACTGCTACCACTGTCAGGCTGGTACGCCCCTGCCCTTCTCGCGACTTCCTGCTCCCCCCTCCCCACCCCCCCCCTCAATTGCGACCTGCCCAGCAGTCTGACAGTGGCAGTGCGCATGGCAGTGGAGGCAGTGCGCATGGCAGTGGAGGCAGTGCAGGCAGTGCGCATGGCAGTGGAGGCAGTGCGCATGGCAGTGGAGGCAGTACGCATGGCAGTGGAGGCAGTGCGATTGGCAGTGGAGGCAGTGCGCATGGCAGTGGAGGCAGTGCGCATGGCAGTGGAGGCAGTGCGCATGGCAGTGGAGGCAGTGCGCATGAAAGTGGTTCCCTGCTCCCTGCCCCGGGTGCACCGCCACCACTATCAGGACTCATATGTCCCTTCTCTTTCCTTCCTCCCACCCTTCATGCGCCCCTTCAAACTAGCACAGAAGCTGCCACTCTCGCGAAGGATCACGAGGTGACTTTTGAGTCGACTCAAACGTCACCTAGCTGCCACTCTCGCGACAGATCACGTTTCCTGCACACGCGGACAAGAAGTGAGACCGCCAAGATGTGGCGGACAAGAAGGCCTCGGGTGCACTGCCACCACTGTCAGACTCATATGTCCCTTCTCTTTCCTTCCTCCCACCCTTCATGCGCCCCTTCAAACTAGCACAGAAGCTGCCACTCTCGCGAAGGATCACGAGGTGACTTTTGAGTCGACTCAAACGTCACCTAGCTGCCACTCTCGCGACAGATCACGTTTCCTGCACACGCGGACAAGAAGTGAGACCGCCAAGATGTGGCGGACAAGAAGGCCTCGGGTGCACTGCCACCACTGTCAGACTCATATGTCCCTTCTCTTTCCTTCCTCCCACCCTTCTTTCCTCCACCTCCCCCCTTTTCCAATAGAACCAACTTTCCATCTCTCTCCCTGTTTCCCTTCCCCTCCTTCTCCCACAGTACGCAGACAGAAAGCAGTGGCCGCTAAAACACATCGCCATTACAGTGGAACAAACAACCCCCTTGCCTCGTGAGCTGCTTCCCCCCTTTCCTTCTCGCTTTTGATGCACCATGCACCATGCACCATCCACCATGCACCATGCACCATCCATCATGCACCATGCACCATGCACCATGCACCATGCACCACTCCAAGCCCCTTGATTCTGTCTCGTGCCACGTATCAGATGGGAGATTACCGGACGGCCTCCGATTGTTGTTACGCTTGGAGGGGCCCCTTTCCACAGAACAAAAGGAGAGGCTTTTGGAGATAGCAGGTGAGAGCACCTCAAATATGCTGTGTTGGTAGAAGCATTTTTCTCTTAGGTGAAAAAAAATGTATTCAGATGTCATTTGTTGTGTGTTTGTTTGTGCATGTTGTGCTTGCGTGTGTGTGTGCGTGTGCTTGGGTGTGTATGTGTGCGCATGCGCGAGTGTGCGGCGTGCGTGTGTGTGTGTGGGTGTGTGTGTGCTGTGTGTATACAGGGAAATGCCCAGTGAAGCAAATGATGCTGGGTAAGATGCCTCAAGCCATCAAGACGACACTGGTTGACGACGGCACTAGTTGACGACGACACTAGTTGACAACGACACTAGTTGACGACGACACTAGTTGACGCCTAGCCATAAGGATAGTAGTGTGCATGTGCAAAAATGGCCACTATTTCTGTATATAAACGGTGTAGAAGCTTTCCAGGGCTTGTGCATGTGTCTTCCCTCCATGCTTTTGCTGAACAGGTAAAGAAGAAGAGAGCTGTTACATCCCAATACAGACTCTACCAGGGGTGTGAGGTAGTGGATCACTTTGTAAGGTGTTTCAGTATCTCAATAATTTCATACCCCTACTACAGAAATCACCAATGCAGTTCTACAATCCACAGGTTTTCACATCACAGAATTCAATGCCACACTACCAAAGCCCGAATCCAGACCGTTGGCGCCGATCGTACCAATCGTAGAAGAGTAGTGAGAGCGGCAGCACAAAGGAGAAGAGGATGAGGAAGGTGCGCTGGCTGCTGCTATCGTGTGTCCTTCCCTCTGGCAACAATCCTGTGGAATCGCCTCTACACTACCAAAGCCCGAATCCAATTCGTTGCCGGCGGTCGTACCAATCGTAGAAGAGCAGTGAGAGCGGCAGCACAAAGAAGAAGAGGATGAGGAAGGTGCGCTGGCTGCTGCCGTGGGACGCTGCTTTCTTCAACTCCTTGTTGCCCTTGTCTATTCTCTCCGATGCCGCCACTGCCTGTTACAATTAAGGACAAGGAACAGAGCCGCAAGACAAAGAAGAAGAGGATGAGGAAGGTGCACTGTGATGCTGCTTTCTTCAGTTCCTTGTTCCCCTTGTCTATTCTCTCCGATGCTGCCACTGCCTGTTACCAGTAGATGAGAGGGCAAACAACAAAATGGGTGGACAAAGAAGAAGCAGATGAGGAAGGTGCGATGGCTGCTACCCTTTTGCTGCTGCTTCCGTGAGCTCCTTGTTGGGCTTGTCTGTCTATTCAAAAAGGAGAGTGCGATGGGTGCTACCGTTCGCTGCCTGTTGATTCAAAGAGCAAGAGCAACAAAATGGGGTGGGGCAAAGAAGAGGATGAGGAAGGTGCGATGGCTGCTGCCATGTGCTGTTGTGTGCCATGGTAACGAGGTGACTTTTGAGTCGACTCAAAAGACAAAACGGGGTGGGCAAAGAAGCAGATGAGGAAGGTGCGATGGCTGCTGCCGTGTGCTGTTGCCTTGTTTGACTCCTTGTTGCCCTTGCCTAATCTCTCTGATGCTGCCACTGCCTGTTAGATGACAGGACAAGGGGAACAGGGCAGCTTTTATGAATTCTAAAGAGCGGAGCAAAGCCAAGAATGAGGAGAGTGCAATGGTGGAGAAAGGAGGGATGGCTGTTGCCATGTGCTCCTGCTTTCCTCAGCTCCTTGTCGCCCTGCTTGACAACGGAGTAACAGGGGACAAGATAGTCAACACAAAAGGAACAGAAGGTGAAGACAAAGACTTAGTAGTAAGCAACTCGTTGCTGTTTACCAACCCTAAGCAAGGCCTCACCTCCGCATATAGTTGATGAACCTGCTCGCTCTGCTGCAGCACGTGCACGGCAAACAGGTGGTTCAAAGCAGCCAGCTCCATCACCCTCGCCTCTGTCTGCGCCGTGCTGCTCAGCAGCCCCCTCAACTCCTCCTGCAACGCCACCGTCTCTGCATCCTGCATCATCTGCTCTTGACCCCTCCTCTCCTGCTCTTGCCCCCCCTGCTCCCGCCCCCTATCGTGCTCACCCCCCCTCCCCTGCTGCTCGCCGCCCTCTTCCTGCCACCCCTTCCCCCCGCCCTGCTCCCCTCCATCCCTTTCATTCTCCCGTACCCCCTTGAGAGCCTGTATCCGCCCCTGCTTCCCTAATGTGCCCTGTCCCCCGCCCTGCCCCCCTCCTTGCCTCTGTCGCTGGCTGTCTGCCAGCATCCGCTGCAGCCGGGTGGATCTCAGGCGCTCAAAGGTGGAGGAGAGAAGCTGCAGATGCTCGGTTAGGATGAGCACCTGGGAGCAAGGTGGGTGTGAGGCACGGAGGGGGTGGACGGGGACAGAGAGGAAAGCTGCATAATAGGAGGAGAGCCTCACAGTGGAGGAGTGAGTGCCCCCTTGTGGGGCCTGGCGGGCGGCTCGCAGGTGCTCAAAGGAGGAGGAGAGCAGGTGCAGGTGCTTTTGAGTCGACTCAAAAGGAGAGCAGGTGCAGGTGCTCCGTTAGGAAATTACATTGATGGGTCCACGACGTGCAGTCACCATGCCATGCTGATGGGTTGTCATGTCAACTGAGCGTTTTCCCCCATGGCCAACCATGCTGGAGAGGTGCTTCCGCTGCTGCAGTGCTGCACTGCACTGCACGGAACTGCACACATGCATATGTCTAACACGCTTGCTGCATGCATGTGCCAGCACACACCCAGACATACTCACCATGCCATGCTGATGCGCTGTCAACTAAGCGTTCTGCCCCATAGTCCCTCCCCGTGAGGCCTGCTGAGGCATGCATGTATGTGCATGGTGTGTGTGCATGGATGGATAAAAATCCACATGAATGCAACACTCACCACGCCATGCTGATGCGCTGTCAACTGTGCGTTCCGCCCCATGGCCCCTCCTGGTGGGGGCAATCTGCATCGCAGCGCCTCTATCCCCTCCTTACACTCCTTCACCATGCCCCCCACCTGCACACACACACATAACACAAGGAGACAGAGAGTACGTTGTGGTTAGTTGAAGGCAAAACTAGTAACGTTCTGCCACTTGGTGGGAATTGGGATAAGGAAGCGAATACAACCAGAGGTACAAGCTCATACGTTTTATGCCACGCTGCAGTATTTCTACCCCTCATCTCATTTCCTTCCCGTCCCTCACTTTCACCACAGACACATTCCCTTGTCTGCCTCCCTGCTCCTGCTTTCATTTTATCTACCTTTGCTTCGATTTGAACGCGTCTCATCATCTCTCCACCATCCACGTGCCCAACCACGTGCCCAACCACGTGGTCCGAAGCAGCACTGCAGTGTTCCCACTGCTTCCCCTCAGTCACCTTTCATCTGCCCGCCTCCCTGATCCCTCACATTCATCCCTTGTCACTTCTTCCTGCTCCTACTCTCATCTACCTTTGACTCAAACGCATCTCGCCGTCTCTCCATCACCGCATGCCCAACCACGTGGTCAGCAGCAACACTGCAGTATTCCCACTGCTTCCCCTCAGTCACCTTTCACCTGCTCGCCTCCCTGCGCCCTCTTCATTCATCTACCTTTGCTTCGAACGCGTCTCGCCGTCTCTCCATCACCCCATGCCCAACCACGTGGTCAGCAGCACTGCAGTACTCCCATTTCTTCCCTTCCCCTCAGTCACCTTTCACCTGCCTGCCTCCCTGCGCCCTCTTCATTCATCTACCTTTGCTTCGAACGCATCTCGCCGTCTCTCCATCACCCCATGCCCAACCACGTGGTCCGAAGCAGCACTGCAGTATTCCCGCCCCTCGCTCATCAAGGCAGAGTGCAGCGCACGTTCGTCTGATAGCTGATTCAAAGTAGGAATGATGGGGAAGAGAAGGGCGAGGGAAGGGGGCGGAGGAGGGGAAGCGGGATAGAAGTGGGAGTAGGGGGGAATGTGTGGAGGGAGAGAGAGGTGGGGAGAAAGGCGTCTCGGCTTGTGATCGGGTGCAACATTGGAGCACTCTCTTTCCCTCGCTTATCAATCAAGGAAGAGCAGAGAATGCTAGTCTCACAGCTGATTCGAGAGAAAAGGAGCACATCGAGCACGTGGTTTGAAGCACATCGAGCACGTGGTTTGAAGCACATCGAGCACGTGGTTTGAAGCAAAGTCCCTTGACAAATCACCCTTTCACCTCCCATTATTCCCTTCTCCCTCCCTCCCTTCATCAGTCTCTTACCCACCCGCAACCTCTCCAACACACGCCCTCCTTTCCCCCCCCTCTCCCCCCCTATCCCTCCCTTTTCTCCCCCACTCTCACTGAACCCTACGTCACCTCCCTTTTTTTCTTCTCCCCCTTCAGCCAAGGCGCACACACCACGTCACATGCCAGCCTGGCGAAGGCGTCCTTCGTGGAAGCTTCGCCGCCCCCTGAGGTGGGTTTGAGCATCATGGCAGATGAGACCTGCGCCAGGCGAGCCTGCAGGCAGCGGAGACAGAGAGCGGGAGGAGCGGGAAAGGGGAGAGGGGTGGAGGAAGGGAAGGAGGAGAGGGGAGGGGGGGAAAGGGTGGGGGGAAGGAAAAGGAGTGAGCGGAGAAGGAAGGATAAGGAATAAGAGAAAGAACGTTTTGACTCTAGAGGCACGCTAGCAAGGAAGAGTGGTGACGGGAGGGAGAGGAGGAGACGGGGAGGAAAGGGAGGGGGGGGGCGTTGGCAGGGGGGGGGGGGGTGTTGTTGGAAGTGGTTGCAGGAGAAATAAAAGAACGAGCTAATAAACACATTTCGCGCACCTGGTCGTACCCAAGCCGCACAGCAAGAGATTTCACCGTGTCGCGATAATCCTCCGTTCGATCTACGGCCATCGTGCCGCAATGCGTGAAGAATCCACTCAAGCTCCGAGGAATTCTGCGTCTAGAGGTTCTGAAGTACCGAAATGATATAGTCACGAGGGGTTATCCTGGTTCAGACAAAAAAGCTTCCGTCCTCGAGAGTCGAGAGTATCACACCGTCACCTATTTCATTCATCATCCAAAATCTGTTCACCAGTGTTATCCAGCTCGATCTGTCTTCGCTATTGAATAAATTGTGTCAAAATCGATCTGTATTCTGGACCTTAGGCAAATCGTGAAAAGCACACTTGCTTCTGGGAGGCGTTTCCACATAGAACGATCCACATGATTTTCTACTATAATATTCTGAAACATAGACATTACAGACATTTTATATATTAGCAATAAAAACGTAGAAATCTCTGGAGTGTCAATATAAGAGTTGATTCAAGACAACGAAGATCGGAGAAAAACCACGGAAACATTGTGTTAAGAGAAATTTTGTTGTAATAAAGCGTCTTAAAAAAATCATGGATACATCAATCTACTACTAAAGCGGCTTCAAAATATTATCTGTTCAGATTTTCATTTGAAGTTTCTATTTTGATGTGTAATTTGTTAACATGTGTTAGAGGGGTGTTTACTGTTCATTCCGAACAGTACATTCCTAGTCACCATTATCCTTATCTTCTCAGATTCTCTAGTGCCACGTGGCACTCTACTTTTCTTGCACTCCAATTCTTGGTCCCACATTCCACTTTCCAACCTTGTTTCTTGCATGCTATATAAACCTTGCTTGTACTTGCCATTATCAATCAATTCTCATTCAACTCTTCTTCAATTACTCAGTAACTTCTTCGCCTATTTCGCCAATAGTTCTTTCGCCAAAGTCTTCCGCCGCGTTTCATCCTCGACTTAGTCGACCCCGCTAATTCTTTAGCGGACTTAGGCCGTCGGGCCTAACACTTGGTATCAGGAGCCTTCGCGGGGAGCGACTTCCAACGAGCGACCGTCGACGACGAGACTACGACGTCATCGTCCCGCGGTGCCGACTTGCAGACTTGGAGTCGTTGAGCGAACATGGACGAAACCATGCACGCAGTCCCCCACGACATGGGCAACACGCTTGCCGAACTCATGCGCCAACTTCAAGAGTTGACGCTGGAAAATCGACAGGTTCGAGCTGAAATGCAACAGCTTCGTGAATTGGCTTCTAACCCCCATGGTCATGCCACACCAACTCTTGCGCCCAACACGTCGACTGGCGCGGAAGCGCTGCCGGAACGTCGAAGCGCACTCAAGCCGTAGAAACCCGAGTCGTTCGACCCAAGTCAACGCGACGCGAACGTGCGGACGTGGCTCTTCATGCTGAACAACTACTTCGCCGCGAGCGGGGTGCAAGAGGCGGACGCGCAGCAGCGGATCGAGTACGCTGTTACACTGCTGAGGGGCCCGGCCTTGGAGTGGTGGCGCCAACTCACTCAAACTGCTGTAAGAAGGGCTCAGACGGACGGGCATCAACAGGGCGTGGGGCATGCAGCTGCAACTTCGAGCTTAGGGAATTTAGCTTTGGGTGTTACCACGGTTCCGACCACATGGGAAGGATTTGAAGCGGCGCTAAAAAGTAGGTTCGATTTGGTGAACGCCTCCGAAGCTGCTAGGAAGCGTCTGCGTCATTTCCGACAGATAGGAAACGTCCAGGAGTACACACGACGGTTCTTGAGCATCTGCAACGAGATAGACGATATCACGGAAGCAGAGATGCGCGATCGCTACCTCGAGGGGTTGAGGCCGGACATAGCGGAAGTCATTGCGATTCACGGGTTGTCCACCTTCGAGTCAGTAGTCGCAGCAGCAGAACGCGTCGACGCAGTACGAAGCCGACGGGGTCGTGACGATCGCGATAGGGGATACAACAGACCGATCAACGACGCTCGATCGAGGGACGGACCATCGCCCAGGGAGATTGGTGCAGTTAACAGTGACGGCTCACAGAAAATGGGATTTAGGGGGAACTGTCACTACTGCAAAAAGCCGGGACACATGAAGCGAGACTGCCCACAGCTTAAGGAGCGGCAGCAGGGAAACGGAAACCGCCAGTAGATAGCGGGTCGCTAGCTGGTGTGGAGGTTCCCGTACCCGCCACGTCTACCAACGTAGAGAAGACGGCTTTGCAGCAGTCATCTACGGAGAACGAGGTAGACACTGTTGATCGTCCAGTCGTGCTTCTAGGGAAGCTTCGCGGAGTTCCTGTTAAGATTCTCGTAGATAGCGGAGCTAGCCACTCGTTCGTCTCTTCATCGTTAGTTTCTCGTCTCCATCTCGAAGCAGATTCAGCAGTCAACTTCAAGGACGCTCGCATGGTAGATGGGACGCCACTTCACATAGGACCGATCATCCGCAAGTTGCGCGTAGTGCTAGGACCGATCACAGTCAGGCGTGATTTCGACTCTGCGACGCTGGACGGATACGATTTTATCTTCGGGAGAGATTGGCTACGGACGGTTAGTACTCAGTTCGATTGGGCTCAGGGAAGCTGCAGCGTCAAGGTAGACGGGGAGTTCCGGGAGCTGCCACAGTGGAGCGATGGGGCCACATCATCCACAGCTATCGTTAATGTTGTTCGTGTGCGACAGTTAGTGAAGCGTGCGGCACGGATCTTCGCGGTTTTTCTTGAGGAGGTGGAAGCTGAGGAGGGGAAAGGAGGGAGTGCAGCAGTTAGTGAGAAGGCGACTCTTCCTGCTGAGGTGAGTGCACTGTTAGCAGAGTTCGCAGACGTCTTCCCCGACGAGTTGCCCCCAGGGTTGCCTCCCAGCCGAGCAGTAGACCATCGAATAGAGTTGGAGCCGGGAAGCAGGCCAGTAGCGAAGCCGCAGTGGAGGTTGAGTCCAGCGGAGACAGAGGAGATGACGCAGCAAGTTAGGCACTTTCTCGCACAGGGTTTCATACAGCCATCTAGATCGCCTTGGGCCGCACCGATACTTTTCGCACCCAAGAAAGACGGAGGGTTACGGATGTGCATAGATTACCGCGCACTGAACGCCGCCACCGTCAAGAATAGATTCCCGGTGCCGAGAGTAGAGGATCTTCTCGATGCAGTGCAGGGCGCTAGAGTCTTCTCAAAGATCGACCTTCGTTCGGGTTACCACCAGATTCGAGTAGTTCCAGAGGACCAGCACAAGACGGCGTTTCGTACGAAGCAGGGGCTGTACGAGTTTAGGGTTCTACCGTTCGGATTGACCAACGCCCCAGCGACGTTTCAGACGCTCATGAACACAGTCCTCTCCGAGTTCCTAGGGTCGTTCGTTGTCGTTTACCTAGACGACATCCTAGTGTTCTCTAAGACGAAAGATGAGCACGTGCAGCACTTGCAGAAGGTCTTCGAGGTCTTACGGAGGGAGCAGTTATACGCTAAGCAGTCGAAGTGCGAGTTCTTCCTTCCAGAGGTCGAGTTCCTAGGACACGTCGTATCCGCTAGTGGCATTAGGACTGACCCGAAAAAGATCGCAGCAGTACAGGATTGGGTAGCACCGACCTCAGTCAAGGAGTTGCAGAGCTTCCTCGGTTTCGCGAACTACTACCGTCGTTTCGTTCAGGGTTACGCATCGATCGCTAGTCCACTCACCGACCTACTTCGGAAGGGCGTAGAGTACGTTTGGGGTCCAGCGCAGCAGCAGGCGTTCGAGCAGATGAAGCAGTCGCTCATGTCAGAATATTATTCTTATGTTCTAGCCTGTAGTGGGGTGCTCTATAGCGAGTACAACCCTTCTAGGGTTTGCTATTTGTATCCCCATTTCTGCTAGTTCAACCCTCTTTCTTCCTTCTAATTTTGTCATGCTATCAGAGCAGGTCGATCCCCTTGGATCGATCCTGTGGGTGGGTTTCCACCTCGCTTCCGCTGCTACCTTTCCTTCCCGCCGTGCGCCCCGAGGCGCGCGGCGGTTTTCCTTCCCGCCGTGCGCCCCGAGGCGCGCGGCGGTTTTCTGCCCGCCGTGCGCCCCGGGGCGCGCGGCGGTTCTTTGCCCGCTGTGCGCCCCGAGGCGCGCGGCGGGCGTCTGCCCTACCTTCGCGGGCGTCCGCCCTACGTCGCGGCCCCGCCCTACGTCGCGGCCCCGCCCTGCGTCGCGGCCCCGCCCCTCGAAGCGGCCCTGCCCTACGTCGCGGCCCCGCCCCGACCGTCGCGGCCCCGCCCTACGTCGCGGCCCTGCCCTGTGTCGCGGCCCCGCCCCTCGAAGCGGCCCTGCCGTACGTCGCGGCCCCGCCCCGACCGTCGCGGCCCCGCCCTACGTCGCGGCCCCGCCCTGTGTCGCGGCCCCGCCCCTCGAAGCGGCCCTGCCCGACCGTCGCGGCCCCGCCCCTCGTCGCGGCCCCGCCCCTCGTCGCGGCCCCGCCCCTTGTCGCGGCCCCGCCCTCCAACCAGGCCCGTGGTGGGCCCCTTTCACCACACCGCCTCCCCCCCCCCCCCCCCCCCCCCCCCCTCCCCCTGCCATTTCCCGTCGTCCGTCGAGGCGACCTGAGGGGGCCGCTTGGTGGCGGGTATGGGGGTGCTCGGTGTGCCTTCCTCCCTTTGCTCCTCCTCCTCCTTCGTCTCCCACTGCTGCAGCTGTCGCTGAGGGGGGTGGTTGTGTGGGAGACTGGGGTTTAGGGTTTAAGGGGGGTGCGTGGGAGTAGAGCTAGCGGTGTAGCAGTGGGTGTGTATCAGGGGGGGTGGGACTGTGTGCGGGAGGATGAGCGGAGGTTGCCAGTCTGTCGTCAGCAGCACCTGTAGTCCGGGGCGCTGTCCCGGTAGCCCAGTCGTAGCCAGCTGTGCCAGCCGCCCGTGGGTCCGTTGCCCGTCCGCCGCTATTTGAGCCGCGGGGCCTGTTACTCCTGTAGTCCGGGCGCTGTCCGGTAGCCGCTGTGCCAGTGTGCCTCCTGTTGCCCGTGTGCCTGCAGCTTCAGCCGTCGCCTCCTATCTCCTCTCCCCTCACTCTCTCTCCTCCTCCTCACTTGCCCGTTGTGACTACCACTAGCTCTGCTCATAATTGTGAACTCTAAACTATCTCTTCTTGAACTTGTGCTCAGAATGTGTGGTGACATTGTGATCCACCCTAAGCTTGTACTACTTTGCCTGCTCTGCTGATTACACCCCACTTTGGCTATGGGGGTGTGTCAGAATATTATTCTTATGTTCTAGCCTGTAGTGGGGTGCTCTATAGCGAGTACAACCCTTCTAGGGTTTGCTATTTGTATCCCCATTTCTGCTAGTTCAACCCTCTTTCTTCCTTCTAATTTTGTCAGCTCACGTCTTCACCGACACTCTCGTACCCTGATCCCACTCGCCAATACGTTGTAGTGACCGACGCTTCCGATCAGGCCATAGGAGCAGTGCTTCTTCAGGACCAGGGACGCGGGTTGCAGCCGATCGCGTACGAGTCGCGTAAGCTTAGGGGAGCGGAGTTGAACTATCCCATACACGACAAGGAGGCGCTCGCGATCATCCATGCGTATAAGGTGTGGAGGTGCTACCTAGAGGGGGCAGATAGTGTTATACGCACGGACCACTGTTCGCTTCGTTTCCTCAAGTCGCAGCCGCAGCTGAGTCGTCGCCAGGCTAGGTGGATGGAGTTCATGGAAGGGAGCTTTCACTACAGGATAGAGTACAAGCCAGGCGTGCGCAACCCAGCAGATCCGCTCACTCGCCCTAGTTGTCAGCTCGCCAGTCTCACAGTCACTGCTGGCCACCCACTTCTCACAGCACTCTTCGAGCACGGTTACACAGTAGATCCCGACTTCACACCGCAGCCGCCTGCAGGAGCAGAGGTGCAGGGTAGTGTCTACATACGGAAGGGTACCACACGGATTTGGGTTCCAGCCTACCGCCCTCTTCGACAGCTCCTTCTCTCAGAGGCGCACGACGTAGTTAGTGCAGGGCACTTCGGAGCAGATAAGACGGCTAAGACGCTTAGTCGCACGTACTACTGGCCCGGGCTTGCAGCAGACGTAGAGGATTACATTCGCTCGTGCGACACGTGTCAGCGTACGAAGTCCTCTCGCCAGCGCAAAGCAGGACTCTTGCAGCCGATTCCACCGCCCGACCGCCCTTGGCAGGTAGTTACTATGGACTTCATCATGGCTTTACCACGCACAGTTAGGGGTCACGACGCCATCTTCGTAGTAGTGGATAAGTTTTCTCGAGCAGCGCATTTCATCCCCACGCACGGCAAGGTCACAGCAGAGGAAGCCGCGACGCTATTCGTAGATAACGTAGTCCGACTGCACGGGGTTCCAGATTCCATCATCTCAGACCGCGACCCTCGTTTCACTTCGAAGTTCTGGAAGCAGCTTTTCGCACTGTTTGGGACTCGCTTAGCCATGTCGTCTGCGTACCACCCAGAGACAGACGGACAGACCGAGCGTGTGAACCAGACCTTGGAGCAGATCCTTCGCAGCATCACGATGCTCGACGCAGCCGCATGGGACAAGAAGCTGAGCATGGCAGAGTTCGCCTACAACAACACGCACCACTCCGCCACAGGCATGTCACCGTTCTTTGCACTTTACGGTCAGCACCCCAATGTCCCCACTCGTGTCGATCTCACACCCACAGTCCCTCGTGCGGACAACTTCCACCAGCATCTCACCTTCATTCATGATCACGTGAGGAAGCACCTTGAGCTCGCAAATGCACGCATGACACGCACCACCAACCGCAGTCGTCGTGAGGTGTCGTTCGCAGTCGGCGACCGTGTTCTCTTGGATAGCCGCAACCTCCGACTGCCACAGGACAGCAAGCTTCGTCCACGTTTCATTGGTCCATTCGTCATTGAGCGCGCACTAGGTCCAGTCGCATACCGCCTTCGCCTTCCCGCACATTTCCGCATGCACCCGTCATTCCACGTGTCTCTCCTTCGCCCATACACCGATCCCAATGCCACCTTCTCGGGCCGTGATCGCACTCCACTGCCGGTAGCTGTTGACACCGACGAGCCCGACTACCAGATCCAGCGCATCCTCAGGCACCGTCGCCGTCTCCAAGGGGGTGTCACTTTCATCGACTTATTGGTTCGTTGGCGTGGTTACGACGCAGCAGACGACAGCTGGGTTCCTTCGTCCTCGCTGTCTCCTGACAACGCTTGCCTCCAAGCGTACCTTCAGTCTGCAGGCGCCGCGGACGTTGCCTCCTTGGGCGGGGGGTAGTGTTGGAGGGGTGTTTACTGTTCATTCCGAACAGTACATTCCTAGTCACCATTATCCTTATCTTCTCAGATTCTCTAGTGCCACGTGGCACTCTACTTTTCTTGCACTCCAATTCTTGGTCCCACATTCCACTTTCCAACCTTGTTTCTTGCATGCTATATAAACCTTGCTTGTACTTGCCATTATCAATCAATTCTCATTCAACTCTTCTTCAATTACTCAGTAACTTCTTCGCCTATTTCGCCAATAGTTCTTTCGCCAAAGTCTTCCGCCGCGTTTCATCCTCGATTTAGTCGACCCCGCTAATTCTTTAGCGGACTTAGGCCGTCGGGCCTAACAACATGCATTTGAGATTTATACACCACGAATAGGCTATTAGGTCCACGCTAGCTTTGGCTTGGGGCTTGTTTGGGCTATTTGCTGATTCAGCCTGGGCACGAGTGACATGGATTGCGCTTTCCCAGAACTAAAGGTGACGTCACATCGCTCTGGCACTGTCCCAGATCCACGTGTTGCAGTGTCCTCATTCCTTGATGCCTGGCTGACCCCACCTCCGGCCCAACGAGTTTCCTCGACGATTTCTGGGATGTGCATCTGTTACAGGACAGTTACAAGGAATTCTTGTGGAACACTTTCATGATCTGGTTGGTGGTTCTGGCTCCAATCCGGAGGTTTCATTGGAGAATTCAGAGCCTTGGTGATTCCATAAAGCACATCTATCCCAAGTCTAGTTGTCCGCCATTCGCGTTTTTCATTCTTAGTCGTCGATAAGCCGTCAGCTGCTTTTTCTCTCACTGTAAGATTTTTCCCGATCATGGAGAAGGCACGCCTGAGGCAGCAGGTTATCGCCGACCACTTGAGTCCTGGTCCGGTTTTCCAGCGGACCGATCTGGTATGCTATACACGTTTTAGTTCGATACACTTGCCGTAGTGACGTTAGTTGGAAACCGATTCTGACCTAGCGGAAGAATCGTTGCGCAGGTTGCGTCACCGTGCCTTGCTGGGGACAGCGCGGGGTATGCTCGCACGGCTGGCTATGATGACGATGTCGTAATTGTCAGGTAAGATTCAGGAAAGTCCCAAAGTCTTTCAGGGTTTCACCTCTTTTGCTTCTTATTCCATCGACCTATGATATTTTCTGGTTTGTGACCGTTCTGACTGAAGGTTCTTTGCTGCTGTACAGTGCGCGTCGCTCGGCCCTTTGTAAGGCCAAACGTGGCGCCTTTAAGGACACCCTTCCGGATGACATCCTGGCGCCGGTGCTCAGGGTCAGTGCTTTCACTATTTATCAGATTAAAACTTGTACGACAATGAAAACTTATTCAGCACATTTCGAATTCGTTCTACAAACCTAACATTCGTGGCTTTCATGCTAACCAGGCTGTTGTCGACGAGGCTGGAGTGAGGCCAGAGGAAGTTGGTGACATTATTGTGGGAACTGTTCTTGCTCCTGGGAGCCAAAGAGCGAGCGAATGCCGGATGGCTGCTCTTTTCGCTGGCTTTCCTGGTGAGGAATTTTTTTAGCTGTTTGTTTTGGTTGGGCGATATATGCTGTTTCTGGTTGAACTGCAATGAGATGATGATCTTGCCCCCGTGCAGATACCGTTCCGGTGAGGACGGTGAACAGGCAATGTTCGTCTGGACTTCAAGCGGTTGCTGACGTGGCTGCGTCTATCAAGGCTGGATATTACAAGATCGGTAAGTGATTCGAAGTTGCAACAGGACGTTCCAATCTTCTGGGTCTTGGTCGTTGAGAGGAATACAAACATGTAACGCTGAAAAACGAACTTGTGAGCAGGCATTGGTGCTGGGTTGGAATCTATGACGGTCAACCCCATGGCCTGGGAAGGAAGCGTCAACCCAAAGGTAAGGGATAAGCAATATGCAGTCTGCTTATTCCACTTGAACAGAACATCCTTAGGCTCACTCCAAAGATGTTGATTGCAGGTTGAGATGAACCAGAAGGCCCAGGACTGCCTTTTGCCTATGGGGATCACATCAGAGAATGTTGCTGAAAGATTTGGAGTCAATCGGAAGGAGCAAGACGATGTTGCGGTGAGTGAGGTGTTCAATATGCTTTGCAGCGTGTCAGTCAACGGTAATCGAGCAGCAGCTAATGTTTTCAACGCTTGTTTTCACAGGTGAAGTCTCACAAGAAGGCTGCAGCAGCAACAGCTGCTGGAAGGTTTCGTGATGAGATCGTCCCCATCAGCACCAAGGTAAGTGTTGGATTACCAAGTTACAAAAGCAATGTGTGCATTGGTCAGACTTCAGGCGGTGGCTTATGCACTCCATTTTTGCCTTGCAGATTGTTGATCCGAAGACCGGTGATGAGAAGCCAATTGTTGTCAGCGTTGATGATGGCATTCGTCCCGGAGCTACGATGGCTGACCTTGCTAAGCTAAAGCCTGTTTTCAAGAAGGGTGGAACAACTACGGCTGGAAATTCCAGCCAAGTGAGTGACGGTGCTGGAGCCGTGCTGCTGATGACCCGTGGAGAGGCACTTCGACGAGGAATTCCCATCCTTGGAGTTTTCAGGTGTGTACAATTCCAAGCACTACACTGTTATGATACTGTTTAATGTAGCTTCTCTCAGATTTTGACTTTACTGAGTCTGCTTTGACTATCGTCTACAGGAGTTTCTCTGTTGTTGGGGTTGATCCTGCTGTTATGGGGATCGGACCTGCAGTCGCCATCCCTGCTGCTGTCAGTGCAGCCGGATTGGAGGTTGACGACATTGACCTGTTTGAGATCAACGAGGTAGGCCCTGCTGCACATTGCATGCACTTATACCACTGGCAGCTTTGACTGGCTCAGCTCCTTGAACTTCTTTTGGCTTTGGAAACGGATGTTGTGATGTTCAAGTTTTTTGTTATTTTCCAGGCATTCGCTTCCCAGTTCACCTATTGTGCTCGCAAGCTCGAGCTTGATGAGGAGAAGATCAATGTGAACGGTGGAGCGCTTGCTATTGGTCATCCCCTTGGAGCCACAGGTAAGTCACTGCCATGCACGTCTGTGTATCGTTTGGTTCTGCCTTTAGGACGTTTCTTACATTCGCTGCGTCGATAATGGTTTGTTCCTACAACAGGGGCACGGTGTGTGGCAACACTGCTGCACGAGATGAAGCGACGAGGAGTCGATTGTCGATTTGGTGTCGTTTCGATGTGCATTGGTGAGTGCTAGTTTCAGTCTGCTTCCAGTCTTGTATTTTGTTGTAGTGCAATTTCAGTTGTGCATGGTGCCAGTTTTCACTTCCAGCTTGCTTTCCACGTCTTGATTCTCAGCCTGCTCTGCCACCTGTATTGAACTGTTTCTGAACTTTCCAGGAACCGGCATGGGTGCAGCTGCTGTCTTAGAGCGTGGTGACTATGTATGCCCTCTTACCAATGCCAAGCATGTGTAACCTTTATAAGCTTTTCACAGGTGGTGCTAAGCATTGTGTGGAGAGGTGTTCCCTTCTGTGTGACAATCTGATCCACTTACACCTGGTGATGTGAATACTTGACCAAATGCACAGTTGAGTTTCATACATTGCGTAGAAGGCAAGGAAGGGAAACATTCTGTGGATAGACTATTGTAGTTGCCCTGCCTTGTGGTGGATGAGACAATGTATCTGTCAAACAAACCAATGATATAACTAGATACTGTGGCACATACCGTACCATACCTAGTGGCTACAACAACCATCTTATGCAAGAATGCAGGATGCTGGTTCTTGGACTGAATCTGTTTTCTAAGAGAGGGCCCATAGATTTGGCACTGACGTATTCATCAATACAGACAGAGACTCATTCAATAGGTAAACAGTGGCGCGTTTTGCGTCCTGGCACCATACGCGCATGATGGGACTTTAGAGGGCACGGCACACCGAATGAGTTTCCGTAAAGGAAAAAACCATGCGAGTCTCATGCAGATGACAGGTGCGTTGGGACCTTGGGAGCTCGGGAGGGGGTGGGGACATAGTCTCCCGGGGTGTATTTGACCACACAGTCGTAGATGCGACCACCCAGAAAATCAGCCACCTCCTTGTGCTTCACCTGGGGAAGACAATGGGTAGGAAACAGAGAGGGGCAAGGGAAGGAAACGTATGGGCAACAGTGGTTGGTTGGAAAGAGGAATGAGTAGAGGGCAAGTTAAGGTGAGGTGAAGGGAAAGAGGGTGCGGCGATGGGGGTTATTGTGTGTCTGGCATTGGGGAGACATATCATGCTACCAGCATCATCCTGCGCGTCACCATGCCGATGTTTTGTCACATGTCATGTGCATCACAATGCATGTTACCATTCCAAGCAAGATCTCACCATGCCACCACAATTACAAGCACCTATGATCTAACCATGCCACCACCATTACAAGCACTGAAAAACCCACCATGCCGATGTTGAGCTTGTCACATGTCAAGAGCGCATGCAGATTGGTCTCTATGGCACGACCCTGCCGCACAGGGGATGGGGAAGGGAATAAAGGGTACAAGAAAGGAAAGGATACCTTGTGGATAAGCATATACTGCTGACATGGTTTGAGGTCTACAATTGCAGATTCACACTCACATCACTCCACAACACAAAAATCCAAATTTGAGAAAATCCGGACATCGAAATGCATGCATGCATCACATACCATGCCCTCCATAATGACCAGCTCAGCGTCTTCAGCAGCAAATGCCAGCTCAGGGGAGATGTGTGCCAGGTCAGCAACCTGTGCAGGAGGAATTCAGGGATGGGAGGAAAGGAAGGTGAGAAAGAGAGAGAAAGAGAGGTGGGGTTGCCTAACATGAATCGTGAAGGAATCACAAGAATCAGTGAAGTCGTCATACAAGGCAAGAGCCGGAGGGATACTGCAGGGGTCTATTGAAGAACATTAGTTGGGTACAAGAACAACAACGAGGAGTCATGAAGGCAAAGGCAATTTATCAGGGGTCTGAACTGAACAAGGGGAAGACTCACAGGAACATCGCTGCCTGAGTTGACAATAAGGATACGCCCACTGTCAATGCCTGCGCTTATAGTCTCGTCCTCTACTGTCACTTGCACCTGATAATAGGGATGCAGACACAGCGAGACAGACAGAAAGTCAGCGGGTTGAACGGACAACAGACAGTCAGAAGGTTGAGAGAGTAACAGAGCGAGCTTGTCAATGCCCACTGCCAGCACATGTACTGATGGTTTCGGGCCTGACTTTAATTTACTGCCACCATCAAAGAAATAAACCTTGCGTGACCGGAGGAAGACACACCTTTTGCACGAGGGAGAGGAGCTCGTTGTAGGTGACGTTATTGATGGAGGGCATGTCGTTAGCGGCCACCACCACCTGTGCGCCTTGCCTCACCAGCTCCCTCACCAGCTCCCTCACCAGCGGGATATGGATGGTACCGTAACCGCACAACCCAGAGGCTGACCCTTTGCACAAAACAAGCAAGCAGGACCCACCTTTTGCACAAGAGACAGGAGCTCGTTGTAGGTGACGTCATTGATGGAGGGCATGTCGTTAGCCGCCACCACCACCTGTGCGCCTTGCCTCACCAACTCCCTCACCAGCGGCAGCACCCCCAACACGAGGTCTGCCCCGGAGTTGTCACAGAATACCACCACCTGAGGGAGTGGAGGGAGTGAGATGGGTGAGAGGAACGAGTTGAGAACCTGATTTCATTGCCTCACCAGCTCCAGTACGAGGTCTGCTCCGGAGTTGTCATAGAAGACAACCACCTGTGGGGAGTGAGATGGGCCAGGGGAATAGGTTCGAAAACAGAACTCATTGCTTCACCAGCTCCCTCACCAGCGAACATTCAATAAGTTGCGCTTTTTTTCCTAAAAAATGATTTTGAGAATTCTCAAAATCCACCCCATTCCGTATGGAGCTCAGCCACGGGGCCCATACCATTCCTCTTCAGCCACTCAGGTGCACCTGGTTGGTGCCCCACACCCTCCCCACTTGCCTTCACTGAAATCGTCTCTTTACCTTCAACTAGTCAGACACACTCACTTTCTTCCATGTGCGGTCGAGCCACGCCTTCGGGAACTCAGCCAGGTGGTCGAGTACCCACGGCATTAAAGCACAAAGCACCTAAACTAACTCATATCAACTTACAGTCAAGCCAGGCAAACATACCTTCTTCCACGTGCGGTCGAGCCACGCCTTCTGGAACTCGGCCACGTGGTCAAACACCCACGGGCGTGGCAGCAGCTGCTCGAAGCTCTTCTCGAATGACAGGCCCTCGCCCTCCACCAGCGCTGCGGACTGCACAGATAGGGTGGGTGGGAGGGCAGATGGAAGAGCACGTGTGACGTGAGACACACACAGCTGTGGATGAAAGCTTGTTCGTAACGATAGCCCCTCGCCCTCCACCAGTGCTGTGGACCAAAGGAGTAGACGGCTTTTGAGACGTCTCAAAGGTCAGCTGTGGATGAAAGCTTGTTCATAACGATAGCCCCTCGCCCTCCACCAGTGCTGTGGACCAAAGGAGTAGACGGCTTTTGAGACGTCTCAAAGGTCAGCTGTGGATGAAAGCTTGTTCATAACGATAGCCCCTCGCCCTCCACCAGTGCTGTGGACCAAAGGAGTAGACGGCTTTTGAGACGTCTCAAAGGTCAGCTGTGGATGAAAGCTTGTTCATAACGATAGCCCCTCGCCCTCCACCAGTGCTGTGGACCAAAGGAGTAGACGGCTTTTGAGACGCCTCAAAGGTCAGCTGTGGATGAAAGCTTGTTCATAACGATAGCCCCTCGCCCTCCACCAGTGCTGTGGACCGAAGGAGAGGCAATCCGGGGGGGTGGGGGTGTTGAGTGAGGGAGGGGGGAGAAGAAGGGGATGGGGGGAAAGGGAAGCAGGGAAGCAGATTAACAGCAGCACAGAAACAGCTGCTGAAAGCTCCTTTCGATTGAAACCCCAGCATTGCGACATCTCAAGAGCATGTCACACTCACGTTGTTGGCCCTCAGGTCGCGGATGTTCTCCACCAGCACGGTTGAGATTCGCTGGATTCGAAACGAAGCAAGCCTACTAAGAGTGACTAAGAGGTCGCGGATGCTCTCCACCAGCACGGTTGAGATTCGCTGGATTCGAAACGAAGCAAGCCTGCTAAGAGTGACTAAGAGGTCGCGGATGTTCCCCACCAGCACGGTTGAGATTCGCTGGATTCGAAACGAAGCAAGCCTACTAAGAGTGACTAAGAGGTCGCGGATGCTCTCCACCAGCACGGTTGAGATTCGCTGGATTCGAAACGAAGCAAGCCTACTAAGAGTGACTAAGAGGTCGCGGATGTTCCCCACCAGCACGCCCTTCACAACGAGCAGAGCAGTCCAATCCGCTCCGTTGGGGGCAGCAACTCAAATGTTACACATCACTAATACAGGTGTTACAGAGTTAATCACTCACGTTGTTGGCGCCCAGGTCGAAGATGTTCCCTGCCAGCACGCCCTTAACCAGCACCTCTATCCTCTCTTTAAGATCCTCCACAGCGTCGATTCTCTTCAGCGTCGCCGGCAGCATCGCCAGCGCCTTCTCGTTCTCCTCCGCCTAGGTTTAGGGATTCGGGTTTAGGGATTCGGGTTTCGGGTTTGGAATCCTTCAATAGAGTTCAGGGTTAAGAAAATCTCAGGGTTTGAGAAAGTGGGGCAAGGGAGGACAGCGTGGGCAAGACAGGGATGGAGAATGGAGGGAGGTTGGTCACCCAAAACCTTCGTATACACTAATCAGGCTATCCAATGTGTGAATCCACTTCGAACCGCGTCGAACCGTTTTGCACTCATTTGTACCTTGGTCTTCTTGAAGATGTCATTGAAACCGGCCTCTGTCAAGCAGACTTCCCTCAGCCGGCACAGATTCTGCAACGGGCGGCAGAGAATAGAGAGAGAGAAAAAAAGAGATATTGATTCGGGGGCGCCAAAGAAAAAAGCACATCGCACCCACTATGGAGGTCATTGGGCCTTCAGAAGTGTAAGAGCTTGGCACATCAACGCAGAATGCCAAGGTATTCATCCAACCCATTGCCAGATTGCGTAATTTGCTTACTACTGGGTTGGGAGGGCCTCCGTGGCTGCTAGGGTCCTTGGCAAAATCATCGAGGATTGCTGTGTATCTGAACACATGACGGGAGAGAGGACAAGATCGCGTTTTGCGGATGGATTAGCAAAGGGGGGATCAGAGGAGGTGGAGGAGGAGGAGGAGGAGGAGGAGGAGGAGGAGGAGGAGGAGGAGGAGGAGGAGGAGGAGGAGGAGGAGGAGGAGGAGGACAGCAAGTGACAAGTACACTTTGGCTTCACAAGAAACGGAGAAGGAAGCAGAACAAAAAGAGTGCGAGGGAGAAAACAGGATTGGGAAGGTGGCTGGAGGTAAGTAGGCAGAAGACATGAACGACTGATGACCGATTGACTGACTGACTCACTGGCTGACTGACTGACTGACTG